CGCAAACTGAAACTTGCATAAAAATTACTTAGAAAGTCCATAAAAGTTGCTTAGAAAGTCGATAAAGTCCATAAAAAGTTACTTGAAAATGTAACATTTGATAGTTTCCAGGAAACTTCATGCAGTTTGAGTAACCTCTAAAACATCTCCTTTTTCTTCCAAATTTCCTCCTAAATCATATTTTGGATGCTAAAACCTAACACAGGGTTCTAATCAAGGTTATCTGAAACTTTTTTTTTTTTTCCACCCTATTGTACACATACATTTATATAATTATGACTTATTTGACACCAGTCTCTTGCCATTTTTACTACTTTATTTTTACTATTTATATTTTTTCTCTTTGTTATTATAATTTATTGTGACGTGTTAGCTTCTGTGTCCAAATAATTTCCCCTGTGGATCATTAAAGTTCCAAAAAGTTGCTATAAAGAAGCAAACCTGGCAACTATCCGTACAAGCTCTTCCCAAAGACATACAACATGCATGCCCCGACACACAGGACCCCTACTGTCCCCTACAACTGTGACACAAGCCAAACCGAGGATCCCCGCTGCTCCGGGCCCTCCCTTTCCTCACACTTTGCATTATAGGGGAGCTCTTTTTCACCATGACACAAACCAGCGGGGGAGCTCTGGTGGATGGAAGAAGTTGTACCCTGCGGTGACGGTCAATTACACATCTGGGGTCACACGCAGAGTAGAGGGGTGCGCCAGAAAGGAAAAATAAAATAGAAAAATTAGCCTTTCAAATGATCAAACCCCTTTAAAGATCAGCGGGTGTGTGGATTGACTAGTGTCCCTTTAAGGCGAGACGATGCAGGAGAATAGAAGAACAGCCGGAGCTAACGGAATGCCATTGTGAAACTTTGTCATTACATTACTGGCCCCCCACACAAAAATCTGGGGTTGGCTAATTACGCATGCACAAAATTTGCATAAACATGTGCAAGAAATTTGGCAACAGTGTAGAAAGCAGTATGATAATCTTTCTGCTATTTCACTATTTTCACTATTTTCATATAATGTATCTTTCTATGTATTGGTTGTTGGGATTTGTACCATTTATGTCTTGTATTATATTTGAACTTGTATAGCTTGTAATTAAAATTTGCTAAGCCTACATGTCCCATCATGCATCTAGGGGCCTGTGAGCCAGCCCACTGTGAACATGTGACCTACACCTATTACTTTAAATCTGCACTGTGATAAACATCTCGAGTTTGCCCTGATGAAGGTCGAAGGGCCGAAACACGTTGGCGTATTTTAACTTTATCTGCCATGTGGTATTAAAGGCTTTTAATTATTTTGTACTGTTTGAGTGCCTCAGTTTTTTTCCTACTTTGTATTTGAGACTAATCCCTACACTGAAAAGCACCAAAAGGACAATTCTGCACAATTTTTGCATATCCAAGTAGCACTCCTGCCCCCAAAGCTTTGCAATCTTTCTGCTTCTTTTTATTCATGTTTTTTGTATGTTAAAAGTGCATGATGTAACTTTATCGTTAGGGGTTTGTCACCTGCTTGTTTCTATGGATACATTATTGTGCTGCCTGGAATGTTCCACAGTATAACTGTAAACAGCTCTACTTTACATTTATTAAATCACAGGTAGTTTTAGAACATTTCCTATTTCCTAGTGAGCCAGAGTGTTGGAGATGTGCGGAGACGCTTTTTAAAATATTCCATCCAGTCCGTGTATTTGCAGAGGTCACTGGTGCTAGGCTAGTGCATGTCAATGGCCATAGTTAGCCTGCTACTAAAAACAGTCTTACCCACTCCACAAAACACCCAAAGCAAATCTATTATTACACCAGACTGTCCATGTAAATGTCTAATTTTAGAAGTAAAACCAACGTTGTGTTTGAAGGATTTATGTCTGAGCAGCAGCAGTGAGTTGTACTTTCTGACAGAAAGCTCGGCAGCGGCGGACTGATATATGAGAAAATAGTCCCTCGACGTGCGACGATTCATGTGATGCAAAGTTAGTTTTATTTCAAACATTATTCTATCCAAACTGAGATGACAAAAAAAGTCGGTAGCAGCTGAACTGTGTGTGTTTTCTTCTGGTCGACGTAAATATGTTTGTGTCTCTGTCCAATCAGAACTCTTCCCCACCACCAGACGCTGAGCGGAATTAAATAAAGGCGATTTAACATGTTTTTCATGTAAACTCCAAGGAGAATATTTTAATTCAGAACTATTTAATTCAGAACAATTAATTCGGAATAAAAAAAAAAAACATCATGTAAACGTGGCTACTGACAAGTTTTATTTAAAATGATTCACTGTTCAGAAGAGTGTGTTTCTCCTGTTTCTCTCACTGCTCAAAAACTCTCAGGCGCCAAAGACTCCAGAATGTGACTGGCAACAAGTTATGTAAAGTTTTTCTCATTATAAAACATTTAATTTTGATATAAGGTTATTGGATTTTCTGTCAACACAGACATTCACATGGACAGCCTGGCGTAATAATAGATTTACTTCAGGTGTTTTGTGGAGTGGGTAAGACTATTTTTAGTGGCAGGATAACTATGGCCATTGACATGCACTAGCCTAGCACCAGTGACCTCTGCAAATACAAGGACTGGATGGAATATTTTAAATAGTGTCTCCACACATCTCCAACACTCTGACTCACTAGGAAACGAGGTCCTATTCTGAATTATTCCAAACTGTCCCTTTAAAAACATCTAGAAAACAGGCATTCTGACTGTGAGCGGGGTCGCCTCTCCACAGATCGGACCTGTAACTTGATTTGGTTTGGTTTCCATGAAGATGGAAAGGTTTAATGCCATACTGTGAAACATTCCAGGCAACACAATCGCATCTCCATGGAAAAAAGCGTTTGACGGACCCTCCACCAGAAAAGTTACACGATGCACCTTTAAACTTTATGATATTGTTTATGTCTTTTATCTTTTGTGGATGAAATAAAAAGAAATAAAAATTAGGTCTGGTTTATATGTAATTAAACTTTTTTTTTTTTTTTTTTATAACTGTGAATTATTAATTTCAAAAATGTCCTCTCTTACAGTCAAAATGACACAGTGAGGAGAGAAGATATAAACTCCTCTCTGAGACTAAGAAAGTAATATTTTTTTTATGTGATGTCTGCTCCTGAAGCCTCCCTCGTGTTTATCTCTTCATTCTGTGGTTTTCTTTGGGAAATCACTTAATATGATGCATTTGATTTACAGCTCAAAAATGAAGAATCTAGGAGAGAAATCAAGGAGAAGGAAGCGAGGAAAGAGAAATGAGACGCATCCCTTTCTTTCTGGTTCTGGTGCAGTAATTAGCATCTCAATTTGTCATGATTTAACCATGAATGCCTTTCTCAACAATCCAACATGGGAGGACTACACTGCCCCTTGTGGCTACATTATTAAGATACACTTTATTGTCTGAGTTTTGAGTAAATGTAGGAGTAAATTGTTGAATAAATGTGTACGTATTCGCATTTTGATGGAAAATTGGTGGCTCAAAACCTATACAAATCTTAACACAAGATGAAACAACTGAGTTAAATAAATAATACAGTTTATTTTTGAGTGCAAGGAACATCTTAAAGGAGCAAACATTTTCAGCCTTACCCTGTATTTCCAATGAGTTATTAAAGGTCCTATATTACACAAAACGGATCCTTGTGCTTTAAGACATGTTATAATGCTGTTACCTCCTCAAAACTTGCCGTATTTTTTGGACTATAAGTCACACTTTTTTTCATGGTTTGGGTGGTCCTACAACTTAAAATTTTAAAATTTTCAGACCGACAGCCAACAGAGGGCGCTCTAAGCGTGTGTGTCAGTATTTGCTACTACTGTTACTCCTGTACCACTGTCACTTGGCTCTACTGCGCATGTCTCCTGCAGAAAGAGCCACTGTCCTGTCTGTATCATGTCAGTCAATCACACCCTTACTTCTGTATCACTGAAAATATAAAATATAAACAAACAGACAAAGACAACTGAGAAGACTGAACGCAAATGCCCTAATTACAAGCTGCAAGTAGTGAAATATCTTAACATGGTAATCGAGCAGCAGAAAGAAACTTTGGAGTGAGCGAGAAACTTGTGACTGCCGGGAGGATGCACCATGAAACTTTCCTGGAAGTCACTGGATGGATCGACAAAGCCTGGACTTTAGTGACACTGAAACCATCCTGTCTGGATTCAGAAAGGCTGGAATAGTTGTAACTGGAACTGATGCTGAGTCAGGCAGCTACACAGAAGAGGAAGCGGCACTCCCTCTACCTCCGGAGGTCACAGAGTTGCTCAGAAGTGACACAGAGGAAGAAGAATTCAATAGATTTAGTGATTTGGAGTGAGATGGAGAGTTTGGTAAACTTGTTCTGTACTGTTGTTTATGTTATAGTTTATCTGAAGAACTGTTCATATGTGACATTAACAGTCTGTTGTTCTCTGTTTTATTGTTATTACTATAAGTTGCCTGTCAAGATGAAATGTCGGTTCCTGGTCTCTGATTTTATAAAATAAATTTCCCCCAAAAGTGCATTTTTTGGCTGGTGCAGCTTATACTTCGGAGAGACTTATAGTCCAAAATTCGGTACCTAGAGTTGTGTTTTATTTCACTCAGACAATTTGAGAATTTTTTTTAATATTAGTCTGTCCACATCTTCCATGTTATGTCATGTAGTGGTGTTTTCAAGTTTCAAGTTAACAGCTCCCTTTTACTTTTAGATCAGTAGAGATTGACAATTCCAGGGCTGAAATCATCCAAATGATTCTAGTGAAGGTGTATGAAGTTTAAAAACACTGTGGAGCACTTCCAGTATTACCAAATGATGGATGGTGGATTTGAAAGAAGAACTCAGCCTAAATATACAGGGTTTGCGCGTTAAAGGTGTGAATTAAACAAAACACAACTCCAGGTATGTTTTGATGAGGGAACAACATTATAACATAAATCACAAAATAACATAATATGAGCTCTTTAAGTATTTCCACTATTTAGATAAAGAGCTAAACGTAAACAAGTCTGTTACTGTGACAACGCCAGCTCCTCAAACTTCTGCACCACCTTTTTGACCGACCCAAACGCCACCCCTTTTCTCCACTCTCCCCTGTCAGTGCCCTGTGCCCCCCTGTACCCCGAGTCCTTACTGTGAAACACCAGAGGAGGCGGGCTCAAACCCGTGCGAATCCTCAGCCTTCCCTGTCCCAACGCAAAAGCAGGCACCACTCCGCCGGGGTCAAACCGCGTGGGTAAGGTCACGAGATGTTCCTGGGACAGAGCGTTGTAGAAACTTAAACCTCCTCCGGTGATGTTGAGGAACAGTCCGATGGTTTTGATGCCGGGAGGGACTCTGCAGACGGGCTCCACTGTCCCGTCGTACGCAGCGGAAAAGTGCACTCCTTTTCTTTCAAACCACCAGCAACAAGAACTGTCCTGGGAGCGCACGCCTGGAGAAGAGAAGATACAACTTGAGCACTTGACATTTCAGAAAACAATGATAGTGTCTTCAACATTCCCTGGAGGTGTGATGCTAACTGTATGCATGCTCTGTCTGAAGCTTTGTTAGACTTTAATCTGAGCGTTATTTTAAGAAAGAACTGACTGAGCTAAAATTACATTATTAAAAAATAGAGCTGATTTGTGCTGTTAAATAGTCCTTCTCACACAACATTACAGATACATTAGCCCACTGTTTCTCAGTTAGTTATTCGCAAGTTTTTGTTGAATATCAAACCTCCTAAACCTAAAAAGTACTATGAACACTCGTATTGATCACAGGCTTCTGAAAACATGCTGCTTAAATCCATTTTGTATTTTTTCTCGGGTTTTCAGAGGATGCAAATACACATACATGCAGAATACCCCCAGCGTGATGTCACTGCAAAGTATCAATAGCACAGATGGGACCAAGTTGTTGTTTAAAGTAAGTCTCAAGTAAGTCTCAAGTGTTTGACCTCAAGTCCGAGTCAAGTCCCAAGTCAAAGACAGGCAAGTCCAAGTTGAGTCTTGAGTCACTGGCCCATAAGTCCAAGTCAAGTCCAAGTCATCTGCTCTGAGCTTCAAGTCATTTCAGGTCTTTAAACCAAAGTACCAAGATTTTTGCAATTTCTATGAATCTTAAACTAAACTGTACTTAAAAAGTCATGGTATATTTATATATATTTGTAGAGTGGAGCTGTAGAAATGCAATTTTTTCCTTTTTAAATGTATTGATAAGATCTTACTGTGAATCATTACGGTCAGAATAGAAATAATTCAGATTTTAAAAAGCTTAATAACAGTTATATTATCATGGAGTCTGCACTGAAATGGAAGGATCATGTTCTATGCAGTTCCCTCTGTTTTACTGTATCGTACTGTCTATTACTGTATCGTACTGTATCGTACAGTAAGACATTTGAGGATACACACAGTGTACACTGGATGTACTCACAGTACTTTAGTTACATCCAGAGTAACAAACAGCAAAGTAGGAGGGACATGTTCCAGTTTGTTCCTCTAAAATGAATCACCACATGTATTAACTGGAGAGAGAAAAAAATATTTTCTCAAAGCATAAGCATCAAGTCTTCTCAATTTACAGGCCTCAAGTCCGAGTCAAGTCCCAAGTCACTGACCTTCAAGTCCAAGTCGACTCCCAAGTCTTAGTCCATTTTATCAAGTCAAGTCTCAAGTCCTAAAAATAGTGACTCGAGTCCAAGTTACGACTTGCAGGTCCCCACCTCTGATCAATAGTAATAGTGTAAAATAATAGTGACAGAGGACTGGCTGTAGAATAAAACAGACCCAAGCTAACAATCTGAAATAACTGAAAACCTGTTCTATTCTTGGTGCTAAAATCAAAGTGGTACTAATTTATCTTCAAACAGATTAAAACCACAGCAGTAACAAGGACTCGGAGACGAAATCTGATCAAATTGTAAAATAATAATAATAATTTAAATGTTATATGCATAGAGAACAACAGAAAAATGAAAAACTCTATAACTCTGAATCTATGTGTTATGTTTTTCTGACTTCCTAAAAATGAGTTCTATCTGCGGTATGACCAAAACACAGAGGTTGCACCCTCTACTGGTAGAAATGGTTTACTACATGTGCAGGTGTTAAATCCCATTACAATGTTATTAGTGATTGCTTATAATACTATAAGAAAAACAAATGATTGCATAAACAGTGTCCAGATGACAACTGTTGAAAACTTCTCTAAACCGAACCACTCTGGGACAAATGAGAGATTGCACAATCTTGCTTCCTATAATCTATTTATCCATGTTTTTATGTTTATTTACAGAATTTTTACCTTGTGTTTACTACTCTGCAGAACAAATGCGAGTGTGCAGTGTTGACATGTGTTAAAGGGCTCATATCACGCCATTTTCTGATCTGTTATAATGTTGTTTCCTCATCACAAACATACCTGGAGTTGTGTTTTGTTTCATCACACATGTTTAACACACAAACACTGCATATTTAGTTCTTCTCTCAAACAGAAAACACTCCGTTCCACTTTATGATGTCGCGTGATGATACAGGAAGTGCCCCACTGTGTTTTTAAAATCCATACACTGTCACCAGAATCATTGTATAATTTCAGATCTGGAGTTGCACATCTTTAATGAACTAAAAGTAAAATGTAGCTGGTAACTTGAAAACTACAACTTCATGACATCACAAGGTGGAACAGAGCATTCTAAGCTATGGAGATATAGATAAACTAATAATAAATGGTTAGACAAACACGTAAGAATGAAACAAAACACAACTCCAGGTATGTTTTTGAAGCTCAAGTGTCAATTTTGTGTAGTATAGGACCTTTAAACTTTCTTATTTTGTGTCTTTCCAGTTGAAAAGAATGACAGATGGCAAACATTACGTAAAATCCTACTACTCAGTTGAAGATGGGACTAGTTCCAAACCATGGTCCTGTTTGTGATTAATGATCCCCAGCCATCAAACCAAACCAAACAGTAAATACGGACACTTCTCTCACCGATCCTGTAGAGGGCGCTGTTACAGACATCCACCTCCCAGTAATACTGTCCTTTTCGGAGCACAACATCTCCACTCAGCATGGGCATAGGCTGCACTGGACCATTGGATAAAGCAGGTCTGGTGTGACTCTTGGCTGTGTATGCTGCAGTCAGGGAGGAGTTGGAAAGACAAATAGATGAAGGGACGTGAGAGGAGTCCAAAGCAAAGTGCAGACCTAAAAATGAACAAATTGGAAAGTAAAAGAAAATGTTAAAGTTTTAAAAAGTTCACAGAAGAACTGAACATACACTGGCAAAGCTCAAAATGCTCTGTTCCACCTTGTGATGTCATGAAGCAGTTGTTTTCAAGTTACCTTTTACCTTTAGTTACTTGGAGATTGCCAATTCCAGGTCTCAAATCAACCAGATGATTCTAGTGAAGGTGTATGGAGTTTAAAAACACAGTGGAGTACTTCCTGTATGACATCACAAGGTGAAACTGAGTGTTTTCAGAGTCAATTTTGTGTAATATAGGATCATGAAACACTGTTATTATGTAACTTTGACAGATGCCATAAAGTGCAGACCTAAAAATGAACAGATGGAAAAGTAAAAGAAAATGGTAAAGTTTTAAAAAGTTCACAGAAGAACTGAACATAAACTGACAAAACCCAAAATGCTCTGTTCCACCTTGTGATGTCATGAAGTGGTAGTTTTCAAGTTAACCACTTCCTTTCACTTTTAGTTTAGTAAAGATTCGGGAATTCCAGAGCTGAAATCATCCAAATAATTCTAGTGAAGGTGTACGGAGTTTAAAGAAAGTGAAACACTTCCTGTATTACAGCATGACATCACAAGGTGGAACTGAGTGATTTCAGAGTCAATTTTGTGTAATATCGGCTCTTTACGCTCTTATTATGTAACTTTGACACTGAAATTAATGACAGATGCCATAAAGTGCAGACCTAAAAATGGAGAGATGACAAAGTAAAAGAAAATGTTAAAGTTTTAAAAAGATTACTGCATTATGGAACATACACTGACAAAACTCAAAATGCTCCGATCCACCTTGTGATGTCATGTACTTTTCACTTTTAGATTAGTAGAGATTGGAAATTCCAGAGCAGAATAAAAACTGTGCTTTCAGAGTCAATTTTGTGTAATACGGGACCTTTAAGCATTATTTTATGTAATTTTCAAACTGAAATTAATGACATAAGCCATAAAAAGCAGTTCTAAAAATGAACAAATGACAAAGTTTTAAAAGAGTTACTGCAATACTGACCATACACTGACAGTTTCATCTCCTCATCATGAAGGTCTATATCGCCATCTGCTGGGGAAATAGAGGAAGTGGGTGCGTCAAGATTCAAAGAGGTAGTGTTAATGGAATAGAAAGTAGCAATATTTTACAGATTACATTACATTATCTGTGTTACAATCAAAAACGTACCCCATACTGTAACGCTGGTGGTGTGTCTGTTTAAAGCTTCCTCCTATAAAAAAGAATGTAAACACTTCTTAGCACTGTATCTAAAATAAATACTTCACAACAAAACCACATACTTGTGATAGAAGGTAATGAGGTACGGAAGTAAAAGTACTATATTCCTGTACATTTTTTAGATATCTGTACTTTACTTAAGTACATTTCACCATGGATATTTTTTACATTTACTTCACTACATTCAGCTGTACTTTCTACTCCACTACATTTTGGATGTGGACTGAAAAGTAAAAAGTACTTTTCTTTATGGTGTGAGACCTGCTGAAATGGCTGAGACTTATTTTTAGCACATTTAATTTGAGTTAACATCCCAAATTTGAGCAAAAACACTCAAAAATAACAAAACTCATGATCAAAATGACTGCATTTCATCCTTTAATTGCTCTAAAATGGCTACATACTTTTACTTTTTACTCTTTAAGTACAATTTTAAACAGGTACTTTAATAATTTTACTTAAGTAGATTTTTTTCCTGTAATACTTTTGCTTGAGTAATCTTTTGCTTCGGTATCTGTACTTTTACCTAATTAACACAATTGAGTAATTCATCCAAATACCAAATACTGCCAAATACATATCGCAATGTTCACTAAAACACTAAGGGTTAACCCTATATTAATTGCAGCATAAATTACAATAAAAAAATAAAAAAAAAAAAAACATTATTCATTCACAAATTTTTATTCACTTTCACTAAGTTGGCAGATTTGTGTTTCTTTTTCAATAGGTAACAACTGTAGTTAATAAAAAATAATACATTTTATAGTGTAAATTTTTAAAAGTGCGCTTCTGTCCACAGGTTTTCTTGTCTTTACAAAGATCTGACCAGTAAATGTCTTGTCTCCATGGAGATAGATAAGTTACAAGCAAGAGAGAGACATCAGAATCAGTAAAGTCACTCAGTGCATCTTTAAAAATTCTATACTATTCACAACTGATTCTTATGCGTGTTAAGTCATGTTAGAATGCTGTTACCTCATCAAAAACATACCCAGAGTTGAGTTTTCTTTCGTTCACACATGTCTGAGTAATGCTGGTTTAGAAATCTGCTCTATTCCACCTTGTGATGTCATGAAGTAATAGTTTTCCAGTTAACAGATACCTTTAGGCTACATTTCCGCATAGCCGGGCATGTTGAGTAACGAATATTTCCTTTCCCCCTTTTTCCAAAATAACATCATGCACATAGCATTATTTTCAAAAAACCTTCCGTGTATATCAACCTGCATAAATACGAAGGATATGATTACTGAGTTTTGAAAGCAAGCGCCTCAGTATGATGTCACAGAGATAAAGGGGCAGTCAGTTGAGTGTGTGGACTCATAAGTATCATTGATTTAAAATGGAGTTTTGACGATAATTGTTCTGCTGTGTGTAACAGAGGCACCAGCGCCTTCACTGTGTGAGAAAGTTTCCCTTTTACCATAGAGAGAACCATGATGACACTGTTTTATAAAATATTTATGGAATCAGTTTTAAAGTTTTCATTGGTCTCATGGTTTGGGAGCATTTCTGCTAAAAACAAGAACTCCCTGAATCAGTTGGTTAAATGGATGAGTGAGGTGATTGTCCATCCTCAGAGCCGCTGGACTCTCTGTACTCGAGACAGTTACAGAGGATGTCCCAGAGGATTTCACTAAACTCAGAGTTTCAGCTGCTTCCCTCTGGTCAGAGGCTTTTAGTCCCAAGATCTAGAACGAATCATTTTAAAAGGAGCTTTGTTCAGGCTGCTATCGTATTTAAGAATACAATGTAATCTATTTATCTAAAATTGTGTGTTTTTAACATATTTAATATTTATGGTGATTTTAGCCAAGCGTGATGGATAAATTAAACTAACTGTTTATAGAACAAACTATTCTGCACTGGAGCACTGGAATTATTTTGTAATTGTGTGTTTATACGTGTTTTGTGGATGAATGAAATGTGAAATGTGGAACCTGCCTCTCAAATCTGCAAAGCAAATTTACCTATGGGTTTGAATAAACAGTGTTGGGAGTAACGCGTTATAAAAGTAACGAATTACAGTAATGCATTACTTTTTGCTGTAACGCAGTAATGTAAGGCATTACAGGGGAAAAAATAGTAATATTTTACTCGGTACAAATGTGAGTAACGCGCGTTACAATGTTTTTTTTTTTTAACCTGGATTGAAGTGGTGGGTTTTTCTTCATACAAATTCGCTAAAATCACCTCGATATCAGCAGCGGTGAAACACCGGAGATGCGCCCTCATAGACCTTCAGGTAACCGCGGGTGAAAGGACTGACAAAGAACTCCACGCTGTTTAGACCTGGTTTAGACCTGTCAGTTCTGGTTTAGACCTGGTTAGACCTGGTCAGTTCTGGTTTAGACCTGGTTTAGACCTGGGTCAGTTCTGGTTTAGACCTGGTTTAGACCTGGGTCAGTTCTGGTTTAGACTGGTTTACTGGTTTAGCCTGGTTTACCTGGGTCAGTTCTGGTTTAGACCTGGTTTACACTCGTCCCGCCCTCTATCGCAGTTCACTTTTCGCGGTCTCGCAGTTTTTTGGGGGGTTTTTTGTGCAATTTTGCATGCCCTGTTTTTTTTTCACATTGTATGAATGCGTATTGCGTTCCTCCTGCTGCGTCCTGACTGGCCAAGGGACTCCTGTCTCCTGTACAGTACAGTACAGAATGTGTTCAGCTGCCAAATTTAAATACATGTTCAGTCTCTAGCAGTGTGATTCTGAAGTGTTGTACGGTTGCAAGTTTTCTCCCCGACGAAACCCACAACGTCGACGAAACGTTCTGCACCGACAAAGGCTCCTGCACTCGCACCCAAAAGGCAGAGGAAGATGCTAAACATCACACAAAAAGTTGGACTTCTGGACACGCTGAAGGAAGGTAGAAGTTACGCGCTGTAACAGACTCTTGCACCGGCTCGGGTACCTGCAAATAGTTGCTGAAATCAGGGCCGTGAGCCCGAGCAGCAGGGCGTCCATAAAGAGCGATCGGGTGACAGCCGCTCTTACCTCCGTGAGGTGCGGAGCAGAGCCGCTCCTTTCTCCTGCGGTCACCTTCGAGCCCGTCCTGACAGTGAGTCCTGTTTTAGTCCTAGATCAGTTCTAGTTTAGTCCTAGTTCACTTCTGGTTTAGTCCTGGTTCAGCTCTGGTTTAGTCCTGGTTTAGACCTGGTTTAGTCCTGGTTCAGTCCATATACAGCGCAAAAGTTATTTTGGTGAGAGTAACTTAAAGTAATGCAATAGTAATGTAATGCCTTACATTTTAAATGCAGTAATATTGTAATGTAACAAATTACTTTGAAATGACAGTAATAGGTAATAAATAACGCATTACAGTTTCAAAGTAACTTGCCCAACAGTGTGAATAAAGCAACCTAACCTAACCTAACCTAACCTAATCTAAACACGTCATCGAGCGCCATCACAACTGCCCTAAGCCTGTGGGCGGCACCTGGATTCCATTCAAACCTGTAGCATTTATTTCATCACAGTTGTAAGTACAAATACCTTGAAAACATGTCCTACTGAGAGGGCTCGCCTCTCCACAGATATGTTAAAAAAGTGGCAAAATCTCTGACCTCCAAGCGTCATGGATATGAAACATCAGCTGTGTGTGCAAATGCAAACACATGAAAAGTGTTTGCACCAGAACAAATATGACTGCTCCGAATGCTTCTATAATCATCATCAGAGTAAAAGGTAAACACTTGGTCACACTTTTGGCGCTTCAGCTGCCTAAAACTCTCCACTTTGGCTGGAGTTTTTAGAAAGATTCGTTTTCAGAGGCGACTTCACCGTGTGTGTGTAGAAGATGCGTACAAATGAAAGGAAATGTCTCAGATTTTAAAAAATAGGTAAACAGGGCTTTAGAGTGAGATTGGTTATTCCAGGGCTGAAATAATCCAAATGATTCAAGTGAAGGTGTATGGAGTTTAAAAACACAGTGGAGCACTTCCTGTTTTACCTGTGTATTCTGTTTGAGAGAAGAACTCAGGATAAATATGCAGGGTTTGTCTGTTAAATTTATGAATGAACAAAACACAACCTTCAGGTATGTTTGTGATGAGGAAACAGCATTATAACTAATCAGAAAATAGCAAATATTCATCCTTTAATACTCCTAAATACAAATATAACCATCATGCATCACTCTTACCTGTTCACTCTGATTAGACTCCGCCCCTCTCTCCTCACAGGCGCGTCCTGAGCTCACTTTGGGATACTCCGGGAGACTGGAGACGGCTGAAGTCCACGTCCAGCACGGCAGCTCCACGGGGCCTCTGCAGCAGGGACACAGGACTGGACAAGAGTTTAGGTGTAGTCCAGGTTTCGAACTGGTTTTGGACTTCCTCTTCCTCCTCCTCCTCGTCGTCCTCGGCTCTTCTCCTCCTGCGGCTACACAGGCTCCACACATGGGATGGGAGCAGGGCAAGATCAGAGCCAGACCCCACTGCCCGCGACAAGAGGGACAAACGCAAAACTGCTGCAAAAGACTGTCCTCGTCCTCTCTTTCAAAATGTCCACTATGAAAATGAGACGTTTGTTCATGACTTATGGACATAGCCAAACGTTAAAATGCAGTAATTATGGTTCAAGAAATGTAATGTACGTTGACGAAGGGCTCGGTATTTGTTGCTATGGAGAACGCCCCAAAATGGAATACAATTTATTTAGAAACTAGTGACAAAAAAGTACTATCTGTGTACTACTTGGGCTGAGTATCATTAAAAAGTTGCCAATACGATACAAACCTCGATACAAAGGTCTCAATATGATAAGTTTTTTGATACAGTGCACTTTCGATTCAATACATACAATTCGATACAATATATTTCAAATCTATTCGATACGGTTCAGTGAAAAAAGGCTAAAACATGGCTATGAAAAGTCCAGTAAGTTTGTGCAAAAACATCCATTTTACTCAAAACTGTGAAAATCAAAATGAAATAACACAATTGTACCTCTTACACAAAATAATTTAGTAAAATATACCTAAAATTACTCTTGGCGATATATCAATACAGCAGTCCATGATATCGATACAGTTTCAATATTTTTACACACCCCTAACTATCAAAAATACACTGTAAACAATATTACTATTATCATATTGCTATCATTTTTGACACCCGTGGATCAATATGTTATCAATTTGGACATCTGAAATTGTAATATTCATCTAAAATGGCTTGATTAATTAAAAAAAACAAAAAAACGGTGGTGCCCAGAAGGAGCTGACGTCGCCGTAAACGTCATCACAACAAAGAGCTGTGAAGTTGTGGGCCCCTCCTATGAATAGCTGCACATCACACGATTATTTGTACTAAAACGGCTACGCAAATCTGCCAAATCCTACGCGTATCATGCTTCAGAAAATAAAACTGGAGAATGAAGTAAGTGACAGTGAAAATAAACTATTCATGCAGACTTCAGGCGAGTAAATGGCGAGGTAAACAACTATAATATGGTTAAAAGTTCGAAAAAATCAGCTTTAAATCATTTGTTTGTGTTTGTTTTACTTACATACTAAAGTGTAGTCCTGAAAATAAATATTCACGTGAAAAAATAAATGAGAAAAACAAGGTACATTACTGAGGTAGTACGAGTTCAATAACAATAATAATTTAACAAAACAAAGCTAGACAATGGAAACCTAGTGCATTTGTTACCACAGACATACCCTGGAACACAACAAAAATTCTTCTCACGTTTATTCAACCCATTTGAATCGGTATTTTTAGTCTACCTTTAGTGTCTTTAGTCAGTGAGAAGAACAGCAGAGAACCACACTAATGCACGGTCCTTCTACTCAGTCCACAGACAAAGCATTTCAAATCAGAAATCCTGCCACGCTTCAGCCCTCCAATAAACTAACCGGGGGGAAACAGAAACTCAAAATACCACTATATACCCACCCAAAATAAGTAAATAAGTAAATCCATTGAGCGTCAAGGCAATCCTCTGACGTAAACAGTTGTAGAAAAAGCGGTATATTCCTTTGTTGTCCCATGTCAGTTGCTCTGCTGCTGCTCCAATGGCCGGAGGAGAGATAAAAGACGCACTAGAGGAGCACTTAAGGTTTGGAGTTTCCATGGAGACGGCTCAACCAGGAAGGACGCGCGGGCGGTGAAGTGTGCGGGGAGGGGGATTGTGTCGGCGCATTTGTTTCCATTTTAATGAAGGTGTAAGAACGACGATGCAGCTGCCCTGTTTTTGAGGATGAGAAGGAATATAAGACCAGAATAGAAGGTGGAGGTGGATTTATTTATTTGTGCTCTTGATGCAGCGTTCGTCAAATTCTTTTTCTTTTCACAGTGCGGTATTAAAGCGGTATTAAAGACCAAACCAGACCAAGTTACAGGTCAGATCTGCGAAGAGGCGACCCCGCTCACAATCTTTTACTAACTTTTTTTGGTAGTTATTGCTAATGTGTGCATCGTGTCACCATGGTAACTGCTGAACATTCTGCCATAGCCATACAGGCAGAACGCCCCCAGCATGATGTCACTGCAAAGTATAGATATAAATATTGAGATAAATATACTACTACTACTACCACTACTACTACCACTGCTACTACTACTACCAATACCACTACTACTACTACTACTACTACTACTACTACTACTACTACTACTACTACTACTACTACTACACCACTACTACTATTACAACTACTACTACTACCACCACTACTACTATACTACTACTACTACTACTACTACTACTACTACTACTACTACTACTAACTACTACTACTACTACTACTACTACTACTACTACTACTACTACTACTACTACTACTACTACTACTACTACTACTACTACTACTACTACTACTACTACTACCACTACTACTACTACTACTACTACTACTACTACTACTACTACCACTACTACTATTACAACTACTACTACTACTACTGCTACCACTACCACCACCACTACTACTACTACTACTACACTACTACTACTACTACTACTACACCACTACTACCACTACTACTACTACTACTACTACTACTACTACTACTACTATTACAACTACTACTACTACCACTACTACTACTACTACTACTACTACTACTACCTACTACTACTACTACTACTACTACTACTACTACTACTACTACTACTACTACTACTACTACTACTACTACTACTACTACTACCACCACTACTACTACTACTACTACTACTACTACCACTACTGATACTACTACTACTACAGCAACTACCACCACCACTACCACTTCTACTATTACCAATACTACTATTACCACCATTACTACTACTCTATTTCACTACTAGGCTACTATTGCAACAGTATAGTATTTCATTCATTACTTCATTCATCCATCTTGTTTTCTTTTCACAGTACAGTATACAAACCTTGCTGTCTTCATGGAGACCAAACCAGACCAAGTTACAGGTCAGGTCTGCGGAGAGGCGGCCCCATTCACAATAAGAAGGCCTGTTTTTCTAGGTGTTTTCTGAACTGTAAAACCACCTGAAAATGAATAAATGTCAGGTAGATACTGTGGAACATTCCAGGCAGAGCAATGGCATATCCATAGAAACAAGCAGGTAACAGATTGAAAAAGTTACATAGTGCACCTTTAAACAAGTCTCTCTCACATTCTAGCTTTGTTGAAAATGAAACACTTTAATGAAAATGCAATGTTTAAATCCATTTTTGTATTCGTTTAGACAATCTTGAAACTTTTTTTTTTTTTTTTGTAGTTATTGCTTCTGTGTGCATTGTGTCACCATGGTAACTGCTGAACATTCTGCCATAGCCATACAGGCAGAACACCCCCAAGAGGATGTCACTACAAATATAGAGATAAATATTGAGATCAAATGAAAAAATGAAGGTATATCACAAATAAATAATTACATAAATAGGTGATGATACAGATAACACAGGGCATATAATTACTTCTACTACTACTACTACTCCAACTACCATTACTACCACCACCACTACTACTACCACTGCAACTACTACTACCACTACCACTTCCACCACTACTTCTACAGCTACTACCATTGCTACTACCACTTCTACTACCACTTCCACTACTGCTACTAGCACTACTACCACTACTACTGAGACTGCTACTACCACTATAAGTATCACTTCTACTACTACTACTACCACTTCCACTACCACTGCCACTACTACTACTACTACTACTACTACTACTACCACTACTACTACTACTACTACTACTACTACTACTACTACTACTACTACTACTACTACTACTACTACTACTACTACTACTACTACTACTACTACTACTACTACTACTACTACTACTACTACTACTACTACTACTACTACTACTACTACTACTACTACTACTACTACTAATCTATTTTGCCACTAGGCTACTATTATATACTAGTATAGTATTTCATTCATTACTTCATTCATTCATCTTGTTTGTCTAATTCTCGTAAGCAATAAACTGTGACTGGAAAAGTGGATCCTAGCAACTCTGATCCTCTGGACAACAATGAGCCCCTCGTCACAGAGCAGACAAAGACACAGACATCAACCATTCACGCTCACATTCATTCTTGAAAAAGAATCTCTACGTACTACTTTAATAACAGTAAAACAAGAGGAAGTCCACTATAGAACATGACCAAACTGGGAAAATGCAGTTTTTGCTACTACGTGCAGTTATTCACAGTTTTCATTGTGTGTTTCATATCCTGTTGTAATGAGAGCTGCTCTTGTCATATTAGGGAGTAACTGTCCTTGTGTTGTGCCTTGTGTTCCCCTTCTTTTGATCATATTTGGTTAGACACTTCTATATGTTTTCTGAAGTCTGAAGCTAGTTCAGACTTGTCCTCTGCCTCTCTTTGCAAAGATAATAAATAAACTTTTATTTTTGTTGCATCAATGTATGTCTGTTATTTAAAAAGATAATTTTCCACGACAGCTCCTTTCTGCATCCACTTCATATTTTTAAAAGTTGGACCTATCATTATGACAGAAAATGAGCTCATGAAGGCTACAAGCTGCTGTTTTTGGGACATCTTCCATTTGCTCTGTGGATTTCATTTTAAAAGATGTTTTCCCTAACATTTATAAAAGAATAAAAAAATAAACATTGGTGTGCATTACTGGACCACCTGGCCAGCTAAAACCACACGCTATGACAGTGTGGTTCTGGAACCACATCCCGTCTCACCGATTTCAGTTAGGCATGATTGACAGGCAGATTAACCAAAACAAACAGACTGAGACAAACAAACATGGCGGCTTACTTGCAAAAAATAATGCAAAGAGAGAGAGTGAAATCAGAATCATGAACTCATTGATCACAGGTCAAATTTATGCAATATGTTGTTCAGAATGTTGCAAGAACTTTTAAAAGATGTGTTCTGCATTTCAGAGACACATGCAACAAATTAGAAGCATTGGTTTCACCATCCCAAGTCTGGACGGAGGTGTTTCACACTCAGTAGTCAGTAAGTGAACTGAGGTGAAGTGAAGAGCCGTAGT